AGGGAATCCTGGAACACGGCGACTGCCCACTCCAGCACACCCCCGCCTTCATCAGCAAACACACACACTGAACCCACACGCCTGCAACACACTGTCCTTCACACACACACACACACACACGCTGGCATTTCATCCCCTAGGCAGCAGGGGAAACCCTGTGTGTGTGTGTGTGTGTGTGTGTGTGAGTCATACCTGCACAGATGATAAGATAGATACAGTGAAGCTGAGAGTGCAGTGGAGTGACACCGATAAGCATTTGCTGACTAACAGGAAAAGAGCGAGGCACATGGAGGAGGCGTTAAAATTGGGATACTCTTAAGAACACTGATAAATCATCATAGCTTCATTCTTTCTTTTAAAATGACAACAAAGTTATGCTACCACGGCAGTATTAAGCATAAACATTACATTAAATATGAAAAAAGAATCATTATCCATTTATTAAATGCATGTTATCTTATTGAGAATGATTCATCAATGTACTTTTTTGTCCTCATAATTTTTAATCAGAATGTCATAAGTCAATATTCTGGTAAAACTTCAGACCTCTCTGGCTATGTATGCTGGAATTCTCCAATCATTTAGAGTAGGTTTACACGGCAATTATGTACTAAAAACAGGATATATGTGTGTATGTGTGTATACTGTATATATATACATACATACAGTATATATACACACACACACACACACACACACACACATACAGTGGAGATCAAAACTAGAGAACAAATTATGAATACTTGATTTTTTCAGAAATAATGAAAAACACTTTGCTGGTGTGATCTTGGTCCACTCTTCTTCCAGTTTCGTCCACTGTTCAGTAACTGTAGTGGGTTTCTTAGCCATAGCTTTGTCTCCAAGGATTTTCCAGAGATTTTCAATCAGGTTTAGATCAGGACTCTGGGCTGGCCATTTTGTTTTCAGCTTCAAGGAACTACTTTACCTGTTTTGCATTGTGATGAGGGCGTTGTCTTGCATGAAAATTGCAGGCTGATTAGGAGATGCTTGCAGGGAAGTTGCCGCATGTTGCCACAGGAGGTTCTGATAAACATTTGCATTCACTCCGCAATGTAGCTGTATAAGAGGCCCAACTCCTGCTGCAAAAAACATCCCCCAAACCATGACACTTCCTCCTCCACCTTTCACTGACTTATTTACGCACTCAGGCTTCAGTCTATCCCCAGCTTGACGACAAACAAACTGTTCCCTTTCAAGGGAACTTCGAACTGCGTCCTCTAGGGGTCGCTATGGGGAACGCCTCGTCGTGACCCGTGTCTGAAGCATACATTGAAAAAACACCAACAACACGTTGGCCGGCGACAGCCCATGACGTCACTACCGGTGCGACTATAGTATAAATAGGCACCGGGAGAACATGTCATTCTCTTCTTCTTCTTCATTGACTGTTTTGTTTGAAGTGTGCATTTGAACATGGTAAGAGCGATCTACTATCTATTATTATGGCGAGCACTAGCAGAGCGTTTAGAGGGTGTGCATCCGTGTGTCCCCTCAGCTAGAGATTTACTGCTAGCCATTCCAGCTTTATATCTTAGATCGAGTTGGTGACTCTCAAACATATTGGGTTTGGTGTGCACCATTCCATCTATGAGCTGCTCTTTCAGAGTGCCACGAGAGCCCCTTAGAATGGTATCCTAAAATCCATGTTATGGTAAGTGTGCATGTGAAGGCTTTGTGCACTTTCTAAAATCCACATTGTGGTAAGTTCGCACGCTAGTTCTTTGCGTTCTTTTCTAAAATCCTGTATGGTGAGGGCTTCGCGCGGTTGCTGTTTTTTCAATGTATGCTTCAGACACGGGTCCTGGATGAACATTACTGTCCAAAAATATAGACTAAACCCAATCCCTACCCCTAAACCTAACCCTACCCATAATTTATTCTTAAAATCAGTGTGAAATGATAGCTGATTAACAAGGGTGTAGAGGCACCTAACCCTGATCGTAAGCCTAAAACAGATATTTCCCGAAAAGTTATCCCTCAATTCTGATTGGTTAATTGGAACATGTTGTACTTGGTGAAATCACGTTCACCCTTTTGATTCTTTCTGCTGATGAGAGGCTTTGTCACTGCAGAGTGCACTTTCAGTCCGGCTTCTCTTAAACGTCGAGACACTGTATGCCGAGACAGATCCTTACCCTGTTCAGCGCTGAACTGGTGAGCAATTCCAGCTGCAGTGTTGAACCCATTGCCCATTGAGATTCTCAGCATTATCCTGTCTTCTCGAGCATTTGTCTTTTGTGGACCTTTTTGGGGGACTTGAATGAATTAGTGTCATTGTAAAGCTGCAATGTTCAAGAAATCACAGATTTGGAACAACCAACTTCTCTTGCTGTGGCTGCTATTGGCCTTCATCTGGACGACCTGCTGTCAGAGGGTTTCCGTCACCTTAGAACAGCTCACCATCTTGCAAAGTCAGTGAAACCTGGAAAGTTAGGCTACCAGTTAAATAGGGTTTGTCAGATAATTAGGAATTAGAATGAGGTGCCAGATTAACACAAATAACTGAGAGGTATCTGAAAGTGTTCTCTAATTTTGATCTGTGTTCTTTTTCAAGTATCTCATTTGATTTTTTATACTGTGCTTCAGAATAAATTTAACTCATGAAATATGCTTAAAAAGCTGCGCTTTTACTCCTGTTAGGATAACTACAAATATGACTAAGCAGTGACCTTGAAATTTAGGAAATTGTAGGTTGTTCTCTAATTTTGATCTCCACTGAATATATATATATATATAATTATTATCATTATTAACACGGATGCATGAAAATTACTAAACGTGGTATTACAAACGCATTCTTCTACAGGGCGTTGAATACAAACACTCAGGATGGCAAAAGCATGCATGCACTTGATGAAAGTGAAAGTGACGTGACATGTGGCCAAGTATGGTGACCCATACTCGGAATTAGTGCTCTGCATTTATCCATTCCAAAGTGCGCACACACACAGCAGTGAACACACACACACCGTGAACACACACCCGGAGCAGTGGGCAGCCATTTTTTTGCTGCGGCGCCCGGGGAGCAGTTGGGGGTTCGGTGCCCTACAATCCCTGCCGGTACGAGATTCGAACCCGCAACCTTTGAGTTACGAGTCCGAATCTCTAACCATTAGGCCACGACTTCCCTCGTGCCAATGTTATCACTAATTTGTGTTTTTGTAGTTTACATGGAGATGATAATGATATCGCTTTCAAAAACTTGCACTTTGACATTTTTACAAAATTTACATTTTCAGGCACCAAAAATACCTATGATGAGTAAACAATCGTCCAAAAAGCATAAACGTTTTCCATTTTTAGTTAACATGGTGTAAACTCCCCCGTAGTCTGCTTAAACCTGCCCCTTTCTTATAATCAACTGAAAGCACTTGTTCACATCTTCATCCATCCAGTCAACAACCGGTGGATTGAACCAAGACCCTGTCCTACATTGGGCTTGTCCCAGTAACCACACTTGCGGTCTTTGCATTTGAGCACTTGTCTACTTGCATGTCATATTTCCTGTATTTGGCTCAAGTGTTCAAGTGGCCTGCAAGTAGGGTTGCAAAAACATGGAAAATTTCCAGTAAATTTCGGAGATATTCCAGAAATTTTGGAAACTTTCCAGGATTTTTTGGAATATTCCAGGGATTTTTGGAAAGTTTCCGGAAATTTACCGGAAAGAGAAGAGATTTCACTGATGGAAGTTAAAACTGAAGCTGAATTGTGTGTGACAATTACATTACTTACATTACCATATATGATGTGCATAAGACTGAAGAAAATAATCAGCAAAAATGTAACAAGTACTTTTCCAGTCAAAATGAAATTGTAAGAAATTGGAAGGAGTAAAATGATTTTTTTTTCCCCTTCAGAAATATAATCAAGTATCGGTTTACAAAATACTTAAGTACAGTAATCAAGTAAAATTACTCATCATTATAATTACTTAGTATTTAACACCGCTGCCTGATGGGACACACTATATAGTGTTATAAAAATACAAGTAAAGTTTTATTTACACATTTTTATTTTACTACGTTATAATACTTTGCACTTTAAAATAAACGACTAAATGTCTGGTCATCAGTACCTGTGTAACAGACGACACAATTTAATTGTGAAACACTACATTTACTACGAAATTATATGTAACATCTGATTAATTTAACTTACACGGTCTCTGTCTTGAACAGGAGCGCTTCACAAAAATGAACCGAAACTCAGCGAATACTTGCCTCACAGACATGATAAATACATCTATAGAAAGCTTTAAATTACTACTTTAAAACGAAATAATTCTAATCGAAAACAAAAACTCTTTCATTATGTAATCCGTAAAGATGCAATTCTCTCTAAAGGCACATCCAGTGAGGAGATGGCGAGTCTGGATCATCAACTTCATCTTTGCGACACTGACTCAGAAAACACTAGTTTATTAATAAATAATTCAAAAACCTTTTTACAATTTCCCCCAGACACATTCATGGTAATTTTGCCGGGGCTTTGCAGCAAGCTTTAGCTTAATGCATGCGCTTGAACACAGAATAGGCTAGCCTAAATATTAAAGGTTCATTATGGTTTAGAATTTAAGGAATTAATCTCTGGTCAGGGGCAGCCCTAGTTTAAAGCCAGTCCTCCTTTTTTTTCTATAACTCTATTTATTTTTCTATAAAGGCACGCTCGCTGCTGGCGGGGTCACTAAACACCATCCGAGCCGGTCTTGACAGTAGCATTATCTCGTGTTGTTTCCACCAGTGTGGTAAATTTTTTTCATCACCATAATTGATAGATGTCTAAGATAAAAAAAAAATAAAATAAGGAGAAGCCTAAAACAGGCCCAATGCCTGCCCGCGTCTGAGCTATGACTTGAAAATTGTCCCGAAGCCCGTAGGTGCGTAAATAAGTCGGGACCCGTTGGGATCGGGCTGAAATGCAGGGCTCTAGATGTCAGAGACACGGCTGTCTGAGTAACAACACGCTGAATGGAGTTGTTACTCGCGTATCCTTGTGATTGAATGCATTAAAATCGCTTGAATATTCAAATTGGCAAGGTGTATTTGTCCGTTAAAGCACAAGATGACGCACTTAAAAAAAAAAAAAAAAAAAATTAAAAATGAAAAAATAAAAATAATTTAAAAATTAA